AGAGCAGGAGGCAGAGCTGGACCCCAAGGTTGAGGGGCTTTCACCCAGCCCCTAGGGCCTGGCACTTTGAACTTGGAGTTAAAGCCTCCAAATTGTAAGAATAAACTCCTGTTTGTTACGGCCATCCCATTTGCAGTATATTCTTGTCAGAGCAGCACTAGGTAACCAGAACAACAGGTCTGAAGGAAAATTTCCCAAGATTACCTGCACAATGTTAATATTGTGAAACAGATGTAGATAAGCTTCTTCAGCTCATACAAGAATAACTCAAGGAGCTTTTTTGCTGCATTAATTGAATTAATATGTACTATTGTGTTGAATTTTTAACTTTGGGTTATTTTACTATTTTTTTTAACTTCCCTCCCTCTCTGTCTCTTTTTAAAACAGGATCTTCTACAGGAAGGCAGAGATGCCCTGGCTCATTTCATCTTATTTTTCTTCAGAAGAGTTCATGTGTTGTTCTACTTTCTCTGGAATAATCATTGGCTGTAAAAGGAGTGGAACTGTCAGGTTCTGTTTTTCTTCTTCCCTCTGAGAGACGTGAATTCCACCGAGACAGACTGGAAGAAGACCCTGCTCCCTCTCCATTTCCCTTTACCCATCACTCTTGGTTTATCCCTGGTTTGTCAAACTGTGGACTCACTGGCCACTGGTCTCTTCAGAGCAACCAGCTATGAAATGTCTGCAATTGCCTCATGCTAAAGCCCAAGGAGTAATTAGGAACTTAGGAGACCTTGCCACTCAGGAAATACCAGTGCTGTAGATGGTCCTAGTGCTTCTCGTAAAGAAACTCTTGAGTGTTTCTTTCCACAAGTGAAAATAGGTCCTTGTCCTCAAACCAGAGGTCACAGAAATGGGTGCTTTGTCCTGTGCCTCTCCCTGGGTACCACGCCCATCCAGTGACCTGCTGGCTCCATTGTCTTGTCCCTGTCAAGATCTGCAGTGCCCTGGCTTCTCCTTCTCAACCAGTCCTCTCTCCCCATCCCAGCTCCTCCCTTCTCTGAAAAATCAGAGGGAATGCTCTGTCCTTTATACTCAAATCCAATATGTTGCCCATCTGCACTCCCATCACCATGACTGGAAGCCCTTCCTCCACTCCTGGTTACCACCACCACCACCACCACCACCACTACCCTGCTGCTGGATGCTCCCTAACTCTCTTCAGACCCCTCTTCTACAAAATTCACATTCTTTCCTCACCTTTATCCCTCCTCTCACTGTCCTGTGACCCCCCTCATCTGCCTTCACCACTCCCAGTGCCTTCCCTGTACCATCCACCCCTGCACGTGGGCATCCTACACTGCTCTGCCGTCCTCCTTCAGCCCCGTGTGCTTCAAACTGTGAGAGTTTTAGTCCATGCAGAAGAAGCAAGACCAGAATGAGTTATCAGTTCATTACAAGGCAAAAACTTGTCACCGTTTTCCTGTTGCTGAGTGGTTTCGCTGTCATTGATGGGCGGGCTCTTTGCCAGTTGAATTTGTTTTTCTCATTCTCTTCTGCCCTCCTTTATGTAGCTCTTTCTCCTTCATTCTTCTCTTTTTACCTTTTTGTCTACCTCATATTCTCTCTCTCCCCTTTGAGAAGTATTATAAGTATTAAGAAAGTTTATTATTATAAATGAAAAGTTCTATGTGCACCTTGAGTTCTTGTAGGAAAATGTTATTTAAAAAACTAATAATTAATAAATAAATATTGTTATTTCATTGAGCATGAAACACCTGTGCATAGTTCTTTTGTGAAGGAGGATCTACTTATTCCTGCTCATAATTTTGAACATTTTGATCACGTGTAGCATCACCTTTGTCCTTCACAATGTGAATGTCCCTACATTTTTTAGTGTGTCTCAGGTTATGTCCATTTACTTCCTTCATCACTTCATCACTAGTTTATGGGTGACTGGCATGGAAGAGATCCTAAAGCTTTTTTTATTTACTTATCTTTTAAATCTTTTGAATAGTTAACTAATTCATAGCATTCAAAGTCAAAATAAAAAAGGTGTGCAGTGAAAACTCTAGCTCTAATTTCCTACCTTGAATCCCAGTTATATTTATTAAATTCTTTTATTTATTTATTTATTTATTCAGAAAGCTTCTCATTCACTTTATTTTAGATTTCTTTCTTTCTTTTTTTAATTTTATTTTGATTTGGGTGAAGATTTACAGAGTAAATTCACTTTTCATACAGCAGTTCACATATACTTTGTCTCATGTCATTGACCAAAATTGACAATGCAACAGCTCCCCTCCCACTTCCTCCCCATAGTTACCTCTTCCCAGTGTCCATCCCTCCATACTGTTCTGCACCCTGAGCTATCTCCCTGTGCATAAGCAGCCCTTCCTTCTCCCATGATTGTTCTCTCCAGGGCGTATATTTATTAAATTCTTATATATTCTTCCAGAGTTTCTTTATAACAATGCAAGTTAAATACATATTTGTATATATCTACTTAAAAGATATATATAAAACCCAAAAAAGTGCATAAATATATTTATTACACAAAAGGTAGTAGCATGCAATATACATTGTTCACTATCTTGATATTTTGCTTAGCATATTATACTTACTTAAGTGATATTGTACTTATGATGATCAGGCACTGTTTTAGGTGTTCTACAAATGTTAACACATTTACGCTTCATAATAACACTATGAGATGACCTAACCTAACTAACTCACTGCCATCAAGTTGGATCTGACTCATAGCAACTCCTTCTTAGGTTTCTGAGGCAGTATCACTATGGAAGTAGATTGCCCAATCTTCCTTCAGAGGAGTGGCTGGTGGATTTGAACTGCCAGACTTGTGGTTAGCAGTCAAATGCCTTAGGCATTTTGCTACCGTAGCTCCACACTATGAGGCAGGTATTATTGTTATTAGCTCTGTTTTACTGTTAAGGAAACTGAGTAGTTAGTGGAGAGACACAGAACAGGGGTTAAATAACTTGGTCAAGGGCACACAGCCAGTAAGTGACTGAGCTGGGATCAAAAGGCTGGGATTTAGGCAGGCTGTACTCAGAGTTCAGGTTCTTTTTCTTTTCTTTTCTAAAATTTTGATTTGGGTATAAGTTTACAGAGCAAATTCATTTTTCATTCATCACTTCACACACATTTTGTTTTATGTCATTAAATGCAATACGCACAATATAACAGCTCTCTTCTCACTTCCTCTCAGTGGTTAACTTTTCCCTGTGTCCTTCTCTCCTATGCATTCTTGCCCTCTGAGCTATCTCCCTGTGCAAATACTTCTTTTCTGATCTCCCATGGTTGATTGTTCTAAGGAGTGTAACTACCTAGCATAATCGTTCAGCCCACAGGCCTGCCTATTGTTTGGCTGAAAGCCATGAGAGTGAGTTCAAATGCCAGGTTCGAAGGATGACCAGGGGTTATAGTCTAGGGGGTTTAACCAGTGTCTATCAGAGCAGGAAGACTGGTCTTTTTTTTTATGATTTTGCATTTTTTTCCCCCACATTTTTCTCCCACTCTATGCAGTATTTCCAATTTTGATCCCTTTCTGAGTGGCTGGCAGTGGTAGCTGGGCACCTTCTTGTTCTTCTGGTCTCAGGGTCATGTAAGCTGAGGTTCACATGGTCCATTAGTCCCTAATTATTTCCATGTGTCTGATTTCACCACTCTTTGCTCTGAATGATGAGAGATCAATTGCTGCATCTTAGCTGCTCGCAAGCTTTTAAGACCCCAGGCTTTACTCACCAAGGTAGGATGGAGAACAATGTTTTTGTGTAGTGTGTTATGCCAATTGAATTGCTCTCCTCTGTGGCCATGGTCCTGAGCCGAGCCAGGAGGCCCAGCAAGAGTCCAGGTTCTTAATTGCTATGCTGTACCACCTCCGGGAGAGCTTACCATGGACCACAGAGAACATCATGCCTTTTATAAGCTGCACTGTGTTCTGTCAAATGGTTGTACCATCATTTATTTCATCAGCACCCTTTAAATGGACACCTGGGTTGTTTCTTATAATTTACCATTATAAACAACTCTGAAATAAAGAATCAGGTGTATTTGTATATATAGGGGTATATTTGTCCACTAAAATTCTGGTGGTGCGTACATATGTTTGTAACTTTGCTAGATCCTGGCATACTGCCCTTCATGGGGTTTGGACCCAATGGAGTGCTTGTTCCCTACAGCCTCTCCAGCTGATTGTTATTAAACGTCTGATGTTTTGCCACATTAAGGGGTAAAAAAATGATATTTCAGTGGAATTTTAATTTGCATATTCTTTATAATGCATGAATCTGAGCATCTTTTTCTATGTTCTGGAACATCTCCTTTTCTATGAACTGACTGGCTATTCATTATCCTTTGGTCCTTTTTCTGTTGGGTTGTTAGCTTAGTTGTTATTGGTTCCTAGGAGCTCATTATATATCATTGTTAAAGCCTTCATTGTAACAATGCCTACACCCTTAGATTTCCAGTAAAAGATTATTAAGGCTTTTTCCCTCCTTTTTTTTGGCGGGTGTGTTGGTTTGATTTTGTGCTTACAACCTCTCTCAGCTTCCCCTCAAGGTAGAGGGAGCTGAGGCAGGTTGGCAAGGGGTGTTGGTAGGCAGGCACCATGCCCAGAGAATCAGAGGCCTAGGAAAAGATGACTTGGGATACACTGAATATTAGAACCCAGGTCAGGAGGAATGCCACAGCCAGGGCATCTATGGAGCCAAATGGGAGACGGAGGCCTGGTCAGGCTTAGGAAGTGAGGGGCGCCTGGTCAGGCTTAGGAAGTGAGGGGCACCTGGTCCAGGCGGATCCAAGAGCAGCCTCCTCCTATCCATATGCTAGATGCAAGGAAGCAACATCAGTCTGTCGCCACCTTGAGCCCCGGACCAGGGTTTACTTTGGCTCCCCAAATCCCGCAGAATTCCGCCCCGTATACCTGGGGACCCGGGCTAGGCTGCCCGCGGGGCTGTCCACCCACGGAAAGATGCTAGCTGGACCAACGCCTCCCGGGCCTGTGAGCAGGCAGCCACGAAGCCTGGCACCTGCAGGGGCCTGCCCTTGCCCTCCCCTGGGTTCCGCAGGGCGGGAGTGGAAGCCGGATCCCGCACTTTCGTTTTCGTTTCCCGGAAGGATAGCGATTACCGCAGCGCCTTTGCGCGCTTGCTCGCTCGCGGACTGGAGAGCACACACCTCGGCGCATCTGGGAAACGATTCCCTCCCACGCGCCCTTCCAGTTTTCACCGCCAAGTTAGGGGGTTAGGGGAGGAGGGCCCGGGAGCTCCGGCCCTGGGCTCTGCAGTCGCAGCCAGTGGAGCGCTCCAACGGAAGGCCGGTTGGCTCCCTCACCTCCACCTGTAATGCAGGTAAGAGCCTGGCGGCTGAACCACGTAGGGTGCGCGAAGCCACCTGCCCTCTTACCCCCCTTTCTTTCTCCATAACCTCAATTTTCACATCCATTTTATTAGACCTTTTCCCTGGCTGGAATTTCACTTAACATGTTCCCAAACTTCACCATCCCTCTCCCCAACCCTCATTCCACCGCTAGATACTGGTCCTATTGGTTACCCCCCTCCCCCGCCCCACTCCCTCTCAGAAACCTCTCTCCCAAGGCAGCTCCCAAGGCTTCTCCATACATACCAAAAAACAAACAACCAACCAACCATCGAGTGGATCCGTTTCCAAGGCGGTATCACTATGGAAGTAGATTGCCCAGCTTTCCTTTTGAGGAATGGCTGGTGGGTTTGAACCACCAGCCTTCTGGTTAAGAGTCAAGTGCCTTAGGCACTATGCTACCAGAGTTCCCCAGTAGCTCCTCCAGACTCTGCAGTCTGCTTGTCGCCTTGCTACCCCTAGCCAACAAATGTGAGGTCCCTGGCAGTGTCTGCACCAGTCAGGTTCTCCCATCTGGCAAACCCAATTAGAACCCCTCTCCATTCCCTAAAGGAGCTCTGGTGACTAGTGCCTAAGGCATGTGACTGCTAACTAGAAGGCTGGTGGTTCAAACCCACCAGCCACTGCTCGAAAGGAAGGTTGGGCAATCTACTTCCATAGTGATATCGCCTTGGAAACCCAAGGAGGGGTTGCTATGAGCCAGATCTGACTCCAGGGCAGTGGGTTGGTTTGGTTTGGCCATTCCCTAAGGAAGCCCAGTACCTCCTCCCAGAGCTGGGTCCCCTTCCTAAACCTCTAAGGCCATTCTGCACTACCCTCTTTGCAACATCCACACTCATTTTTTATGAGACCCCTCCCTGGCTTTCATGCAGAAACCCCGAAGTCTGACCTTCAGCAGCTCCCTGGCTGGCATTTCCCAGGTAGTTGTTTCCCTGTTCCTTTTACTTGGAAGAGGGTGATGCAGTGGACTGAGAGTTGCCTGCACTTCCTAGGCCAAGGGTGGGCTGGTCCAGAGCCTCTTCTCCAGCAGCCAGAGAGACAGCCACCCCACCCTCACCCCTTAGGTGTAGTCCCTTAGTTACTTTAAGTTCAGCACCTGGGGGTGGGGGCAGTCAGAAATGAAGTGGGAACTATCCAAAAAGGTGTTGCTTCCTCTTTTATGGCAGCCAAGGCTTCTGGAGTTTGCTTTGCTGGCTGCAAGTGTAAAATCTTTGCTAAAAATTGCCCTCCTCAGATTCTGAGAAGTGGATGTAGAGCTCTGGAAGATCCCAGAGTGAACAAATGACTCTTGCCTGAACTGGCTTCACTTTTCCTTTTCACCATGGGGCAGCCTGTGGCTGGCCATAAGCCCCAAGGAGCCTCCTGTCTCTACAAAATCCTATCATTGTTTTCATCTCATCTTGATGGATGAACCAAATCAGCACTGTGGGCTATGCTGATTGTAAAATTATGAAGATACAGACTTCATTTGGTGGGGACTGTTGAGTTTGGAAATTTATCTGAGAATCTCTTTATATGTGTATACATGTATATAAAACCCACTGCCATCGAGTCGGACTCATAATGACCCCTCCTGGTTTCCGAGGTGATATCACTACAGAAATTGATTGCCCAACCTTCCTTCTGAGGAGTATTTGGTGGGTTTGAACTGCCAGTCTTCTGGTTAGCAGTCAAATGCCTTAGGCACTACGCCACTAGAGCCCATATATATATACATATATATACAAAACATGACATTTGCCAGTTCAAAATGCTTTAAGTGCATAATTTAGTGATATCAATTCCATTAATCATTGTGCAACCATCACCCATAATCATTGCCAAATTTTTCATCACCATCTTTTTCTTTTTTGAAATCAGTATTTGTTTGCTTGCTTATTTTTTTTTTATTTCTGGTTGAAGGACTTTTTCTCCTGGGCTCTCAGGTACCCTTGTGTCCTCTCACAAGGACAGGTTCCAGTGAGTGTTCCCAAGTCCTCGGATTTCAAGCTTAGAGTCAAGTCTTGGCAAGGGAAACTTCTGCTAGGGTTAGGCATATGCATGATAAACCTTGACTTGGAAAGATAAAATACAGCTCAGTCTTTATCAAATATCCACTGTGTATAAGATGTTGTTAATAGCAAGATGAAGACATATGTAGGTTTTGCTTTTAGGATAAACATAATCTATTGGCAGCAATGAACGTGCTTTCCAAAATAATTCTTATACATTTAAAGGTGACTGAGGCTTTACCATGGTGTCCTTCTTTGACTTCTCTGATTTTCCTCTCCATAGAAGGGAGCAATGGCTGGCTCTCCTCTGAGCTCAGCAGCAGCCATACCACCCCCAGCCACGCAGGCCCAAGCCAGATGTGAAGCTCAAGTGCAACTGCTGGGTGAGGGGAGGATCTGTAAACTGCCTGGAAGACTCCGTGAGTAGAGGGAAGAACAGTTTTTTTTTTTTTCTCCCAGCGTATCAGTGTAAGGCATAAACTCTTTTTATCCAAGCAATTACTTTCCTTTAGGTTTTCTATTTCCTGGCTGGATTTCCTTTAATTTTTCCTTTGCAAGGAAATCGGAGAAGGTAAATGTGAATTCTTGCTGTGGAGAAGTCATACAGCTGATATGGCCAAACAGGTGAGGCAGGTAGTGGTCTCATTGATAAGATGAGGGTTGGGATTAGATGAGCTATTGGGTGTCTTCCAGCCTGCAGACCAAGAGCTGGGGACATGAGCCAGAAGGGAAGAAAGTGAACAGTTGTATACACACACACACACACACACACACATATATGTATATATATTTTGGGGCAATCTACTTCCGTAGAGTACTGCCTCGGAAACTCAAGGAGGGGTCGTTGTGAGTCGGGTCCAACTCGATGGCGCATAACAATAACAACAACAATATTTAATTTAAAAATTATATTTAATTTTTATTGTTATAAAAGTAAAAAAAAAAAAAACAAAAAACTCATTGATGTGGAATTGGTTTTGGCTCATAGTGACCCCTCCTTGGGTTTCTGAGGTGGTATCACTAAGGAAGTAGATTGCCCAATCTTCCTTCCAAGGAGTGGCTGGTGGATTTGAACTGGCAGCCTTCTGGTTAGCAGTCAAATGCATTAGGCACTACGCCACCAGAGGTCCCAGCCAGGTCCACCCAAAGATAACTATGAGAAATGTATTGGCCAAGTCCTTTTCTTTCTTTCTTTTTTTCAAAGTAATGCCCTTGCCTGAGGGAATGCATAACCATGGAGCAGCCTGTAGATCTAAGCCCAGGTGTCTGGCTCCGGAGACCACGCTCTGAATTGACACACTTATGATGAGAAATGTTCTTCTAAAGCAAGATGTGTTAGGTCTAATGCTATATAACAAATCATTCCAAAATGTAGTGGCTTAAAACAACAACAGTGATTGTTCTCTGTCGGGGTTTCTTTAGGTCAGAAAATTGGGACCGGAGTGACCAGGCAGTTCCGGCTGGAAGTCTCTGATGAGGTTGCCGGCAGATGTGGGCTGGGGCTACAGACATCTGAAGGCTTGGCGGGGTCTGGAGGGTCCACTTCCCATGTAGCTCATTTGTGTGGCTGGCAAGCTGGTATTGGCTGCTGACAGGAGGCCTCTGTACCTATCATCTTAGATCCCATGACTCACATTCATGGAAATTTATGAGAGTCTTCAGACAACCCAGCTCTGGTCCTTAGTAGATACCTAATAGTCTTAAAAGATAGGGCATGCTAAATGACTCACTTTCCAGTTAACAACATCCCAAATAGGCAAATTGCTGACACCAAGTAAAGATTTGACCTTTCACATGGCTGGGGAGTGTCAGCCTGCTGTTTCTCACATTTCTAGGCATCTCTTTGCCATTTATTCCCAGCCGCCCACCCCTCTACCTCCTCCTCCTCCAGCTTCCATTCTAATAGTTAGGGCTGATTTGCCTCAGCAGGAAGGTGAACAAATAAAACAAGTCCCACTTAGCTTTGTGAGTCAGAACTAAGTGGAACACATGTTATTTTCCCGTAGCACTCACTTTTCTGTATTTGTTTGTCCAACAAAGATGTGCAGTAGAGCTATGGAAAGTCTACTCTCTTTGACTGTAATATCTAGGGTTGCAGCAAGTGAGAGGGGAGGGGCTTGGATGGAGGGATGGGATCTCCAGGGGCTCTGGCAGGGTGTCCCCCCCACTCATAACAAGAGATTCACAACTATGCTCTGTGGAAGAAGACAGTGAAAGAGGGTTTGCCCCCACCCCCTGGTCTGTGTCCATCAGGTTCTGCCTGATGAGTTAGGAGCTATGAAGGGACATAGCTGCAGGCTAGGAAAATAGCAAGCAGTGAAGGAAGCAATTGAAAGACCCAGGATGAGGGCACAGGAAGTGAGTCTGGGAGGAAGGGATGCATCTTCAACGGATGACTTGGGGAAACTTTGAGACAAGAGGTTGTTTAGAAATTGCCACCGTCACAGCCTCATTTGATGACAGAAACTGAGACTCTTAGAGTCATCTGTGATCTTAATGGCCAGATTGGGCCTCAAACCAGGACTCTTAATTCTCCATCCTGGGTCTCTCTTCATTTTCCTGGAACTTATTCCTCCTGCGTGGTGCAAATGGATAATTTACTCAGCTGCTAACTGAAAGGTTGGAGGTTGGAGTCCCCTCAGAGGCACTTCAGAAGAATGATCTGGCAATCTACTTGCGAAAAATCAGCCATGGAAAACCCTTTGGAGCACAGTTCTACTCTGACACACATGGAACTGCCGTGTGTCTGTGAGATACAATTCTAATAAGCATGGCTTTAGCCCACTCCTTTAGGCATTTTATGTTTATTGAGCACCTACCATGTGCCAGGCATTGCTTCAGGTGCTGGGGAGGCAACAGAGATTAGCAAGGTTTGTGCCTCATGAGCTAACAGTCCAGTGGGGGATGAGTGACTACATGAAGAAGTGCTCTTTCCAGTGATAAGGGCAGTGGGGAGGGGGCTAAGGAGTGGGGGAAGGTACACTCTGAGCATGGGAAGATGCTGACCTTCAAGGGAGACACTGAGCCCTCCAACAGTGACTTGGGTAGGCAGTTCCTCCTGCTGTGCCAGCTGGGGGCTTTGCCCAGATCTGTCCCAGAAGCCGGAAACTGGCCAAGCTGGAAATCCCCACTTGGCAGGCCACTGGGCAGGGAGAGTAAGGTGATACCTGGCTGGAGTCTTGAGAGACAAAGATGGTTAATGTGAAGGAACTGAAAATATCAGTAGGTTATTGCAGAGAGGGGGAAGTCATGAGCTGGTCTGCGAATGAAGACCCAGGAAGTTTAATTTGGTTTGATTGATAAGGGGAGTCCCAGGGAGGAGGTCTGGGAGGCTCGTCTGTCTAGTAGAGTCTTCCGTGATTTGTTGAACTTTCATGTGTTCTGGGTCATGGGTCAAGCACCAACAATTAAATGAATGCATATGTAATACATACATAATGTTACACAGAAACATGTAATTATATCAAATGTAAAATGTAATTTCAAAGAACAGAAGATGCCAGAAAGGCAAAGAACAGATCACCAAAACGGAGAAAATGATGGGAGCGGAGGGATGGGCAGGAGACCATCTGCTCTCAGGGCCTGCTCAGGGTGGGCTGTGCTCAGGGTGGGCTATGCTGTGGAGGTGACTCAAATGAGGACCTGAGGTTGGAGACAAAAGAGATTGGTGGGGGAGAGCCACTTGTCTTGCCCCTCCTTCCCCCAGCCCGTACCCTTGCCGGTTCCAGGCCTCCAGCCCGCGCTCTGGAGCAGGGAAGACGTGATGCACTGGCTGCGCTGGGCGGAAAAGGAGTACTGTCTGCAGCGCACGAGCGAGCACAGGTTCGAGATGAACGGCCGCGCCCTCTGCATCCTCACCAAGGACGACTTCCGGCACCGCGCGCCTGGTTCAGGTTGGGAAACTCACTGCCCTGCTCTAAAACATTTTTTACGGAAACCCGAGTAGGCCAGGGTGTCCCAAGTGCTCAGTGGGGACCTAGAGAGGGAGATGAAGGGAGTCGGTGTTGGGTGTCATGGTGATCTCCCAGCGTTGCATAAACATTTGCCTGGTGGTTCCTAGCCAGAGCAGGTCTTCTGCAGAGCAGTTGAGTCGTCTATTTTTTTCAGAGCCCCGTGGGCCTCTTCTGTTCCTTCAACTTTCCCTCCTCTCCCCTGATGCCAACCCCCCTCATTTCCCACCTTTCTGCCTCCCACATCCCCCTTCCCTCCCCGCTCCTAAAAAAACTCCAAAACTAGAGAAAATATTTTTTTTTGTTCACACTGAGGTATAAATGACTGATAATCTCTAAAGCTTTGCCTCTCAATAACCCAAACCCACGGCCTTCCAGTCGATTCTGACTCATAGTGACCTGCATTGGGTTTCCAAGCCTGTAAATCTTTATGGAAGTAGATTGTGGAACCGCCCACCTTCTTTCTGGTTAGCAGCCAAATGCCTTAGCCACTACTTCCCTCAGTGCTTTAGGGCTCCTTGCCATCAGTGCTCCTTTGCCTCTCAGTTGGAGTTTTTGTTTTAGCCAGAAATTAGGTCTGAGGCTAAAGGCATGAATTTCCAATGATGATGTCTCCAGCAGCAGAGAGTTTGGTGGGGCAGGGAGGGGTGGCTGGTGGTGGGCAGCAGAGCCTTCCAGGCATCTAGAGAATCACACCTCCTTCACAGCTGGCCTGTTCTCAGGAGGCTGTCAGTGTTTTTGCTGATTTGGTATCTTTTTTTTTTTTTTAATAATACACTCAAGTTTTCCACGTAGCTCTCCTTTTGGCCAAGCAAGCTCATTATGCATGTGATAAACAAATTTTCTTAAACATTCTGATTTACTTCCTTTCTTTAACACTCACATGGCCAGTCCCATATCACATCCCAACTTCTATCATACACTTTCCCCTATAAGCCTCTGCCAGTGACTGCTGGGAAGGAACTCTGGTGGTACAGTGGTTAAGGCATTTGGCTATTAGCCACAAGTTCAGGGGTTCAAACCCACAAGTCACTCTGAGGGAGAAAGATGAGGCAGTCTGCTCCCGTAAAGATTTAGAGTCTTGGAAACCCCAAGGCTTGCCTGGTGGTTCCTAGCCAGAGCAGGTCTTCTGCTATGTGGTTGCTATGACTTGGAATCAACTCAATGGCAGTGAGTTTGTTTGGTGTGGCTACTGGGACTTAATTCTTATATTTAAGAGCCTGGTGGGAGGTAGAGATAGGCAGAGGACAGAGAGCTGTCTCTAGACCAGACTTTCCCTATAGTTGTGACAGTCCTGCCAGAGGCCAATCTGGTCCTCTCCCTCTCGTGCTTCCCACGAGCATCCATGGGCCTCAAGTGCCCACTGCCTACATCACATCCCTCTGGCTGCTCTGATCCCCAGCATGACTCTCTGCCTAGGGATTCCCTTTCCTTCCTTCCCCACCAGCAGCACCTTAGCCCAAAGGTGTGAATCAAGAGAGATTTCTGGGCCCATGGACAAGGCCCCCAATTTCTGCCTTGTGGGAAGAAGCTGTTTCTGTCTCTGAAGGATGAGACATTGGAAAGAAGTGTCTTGGACTGTTTTGCTCCTTAGAATTTGGGGGTAGTCCTTTCATAAAGCTTGGGGAATCCAACGAACCTTAGAAGAACAGTCTCCACTCCCAGGGACACATACAGTTGTACAGGTTGTGCACTGTACAACTCAACCTGTCAGGGCTGAGATGCAGCCTGACCTTGCCAAGCTATGTGCCCTGGCAAGGGCTGCATCCACCAAGAAGAAAGAATGCAACAGTGGCCTTGCCCAGCCCTAACCTCCTAGAAGCTGCATCAGGATCCCAGCCCTCATCTTGAGAGGCAGGTGACCATGGAGAAACATGGCTGGCTATCCCCACCTGGCCAGATTGGCAGCTTGCTGTCCCACCCCCCTGTACAGGTGACGTCCTGTATGAACTGCTCCAGTACATCAAGACCCAACGGCGAGCCTTGGTGTGTGGGCCCTTTTTTGGAGCAAGCTTCAGGCAAAAGATGGCCGTACAGCAGCCCACTAGCCCCCTGCAAGGTGAGGAGGCTTTTGTGGCGCTCTGAGACTCGCCCCAAATTGGCCTCATTGGGAGAACAGGGCTTCCTCAGAGCAGAGTAATGAAAGAGGCAGTGGGTATGGGGCGAGTTCCCCATCTTCTTCCATCCCTGCCTCCTCGGCCCTCACCTCCTGGCTTTGGGAACGCTCCTGGCAACCCTTCCTAAGAGGCCCTGCTTCTCATCTCCCCCTTACTCTGCTCTCTTCTCCAGCAGGTTGTCTCTTTCCTGTCTCTATTTCCTCCTCTCCCAGTCTCCCCTGAACTCACTCTCCTGAGGCTTTCAGCCCTGCTGCTCCAATGAAATGGTTCTTGTCAGGGTCTTCAGAACCTGGACTTGTAGGATTATTCACTCTCAATCATTATTTACTGTGACCTCTGGTAGCCTTTGACCTGGATCACAGCCCCCCCCCAAACTCTTTCTTCCCTTGGGTTCCAGAAAAATCCATTCTCCTGGTTTTCCCCTACTCCACTAGCCACTCCTGCTCAGCCTCTTTTGCTGGTTTTCTCTCTCTTACTTATAAATATTGAGGTACTCAAGGGCTCGGGGGACCTCTTCTCTATCTACACTCAGACTCTGGATGATCTCATGTAATGCTGATGATTCCCATAGCTGGTCTCCAGCCCTCACCTGTCTAAATTCTAGACTCACACACCACCACTGCATGTCCTGTGGGCACCACAAACCTGACATCTAAATCAACCATCTGATTTCCTGCCCTAATGTTCTCAGTTGTCTTTGTTCCTCTCTTTCCCTCCCACTCTCTTCCCAATGGTCACCAAATCCTGTTGGCTCTACTCTCAAGAATTCAACCACTTCTCACACCTCCATTGCTACCTACAGTGGTCCAGTCTCCATCATCATCCCCTGTCACCAGGAGGAACACATAGGCCTCCTCAGTGGTCTTCCTGCTTTTGCCCTTGACCCCTGATGGTCTATTCTCAACACAGCAGCCAGAGAGATTCTTTTGGAACTTAAGCAAGATCATATTACTTCTCTGCTCAAAAATCTCCCAATAGCTCCCATCTAACTCGGAGTTGAAGTCACAGTCCTTACAATGACCTCCTGCCCTTGGCCCTTCTCTGCTACCACTGTCCCTCTTGCGCTTGCTCTTCTAGCCACATTGGGATACTTGTTCACTGAACAAGCCAGAGACACTTCTGCCTTAGGGCCTTTGCACGCACTTGCTGTTCCCTCTGCCTGGCATTTTGTTCTCCAGACACCCACATAGTTGACCCTTCTACCTCCTTCAGCCCTCTGCTCGAATGTTACCATATCAGCAAGGCCTTCCCTGACCAACTGCTCTAAAACTGCAGCCTCTGCTCCTGTCCCACCATTCCCTATCTGCCTTATGATTTTGTATTCCCCCTCAACACACACACAAAAATTACATACTTTTTCCATTTCCTTTTGTTATTTTAATCACCTATCGCTCCATACTAGAATATAAACTCCATGAGGGCAGATAAATTTTTGGGTTTAGAGATATATCCCCCATTAGAACAAAACCTGCCTCATAGGAAGTTCTCAATACATTTTTGTTGGGTGGATTGGGAGGACATTGGACTAGAATACAGGGCACTTGGTTCTAGACCTGGCTTTGTGACCTATGTTACAATGAAAGTACTGATTTGAAAGGTTAAGTTACTTGTCCGGGAGCTGGGATTAGCACTCAAGCTGTCTGGCTTTCACCCACTGTCCTCCATTGCCTCCCTGGACTTCTCACCCAGGCTTGATGAAGGAAGAACATTTGGCGTGCTGACCAGGGACTCTTGGGCATGTTGTAGAGGGCCCTGGGGTGGGGTGGAGGTGCTCTGGGCCCATAGACTCAACTGTGCTCATCCATTTGCAGAGAGGACTGGGCTTTCTCAGACAGCCTCCTGGAAGGGCCTTCTGCAGCAGCCACCACACCTTGGGTTTGCCAGCTCCTTGAGCCACCTGGATGTCCCTAACCTGGCCAGGTGGCCCTTGGGCAGGGAGGACCCCTTCACCTTATCTCACTGTGCAGAGTTCAGCTGCAGGCCTAAGGAAGTCTGCTCTTTCCCCACCACACCGCAGGCTCCCATTGATGGCAGGATTGCTGGTGAGTAGGGGATTGTGTTCCCCTGGCCAAGAGGGAGAGTCCTGCAGAGGTGACAAGGAGGAGGGTTGTTTGACCCTGGGGGGTGAAGAGGTCTTATTCTAAGGCTGGGGTGATAGCCCTGTTTGCTGGCCATCATCTGGCTACATTGGCAGTGGTGCCTGGGAGAGCCAAGCCTACCCTGTCTCCAGGGCAGGGACAATTTAGCAAAACTGAGCCAGTTTTTGCCAAACATTCAGATTGGCATGCAGTAGGTTTTCTCCATGTCCCCCTCCTTTAAGCTTTAAATAATTGAGCACGTACTGTGTCCCAGGCATGTTCAACCTTTACCTGAATTAATTTATTTAATCCCCACAACAGCCCTTTGGAATTGATCTCATAGTTAGCCCCCCTTCACAGATAAGGAAACTGAGGCTCAGAGGGATTAAATGACTTGCCCAAGATCACACAGCAAGTAAATGGCAGCGTGGCTCCACTCCACACTCATTGTTAAAGGATGGATTGACTAACTGACAGACAACCGGACACACTGACAGATAAGCTGGTTATCTCTCTGATGGGTGTTTTCTAGCCATATTTATTTTAAGACACTACAGAGGCCCAGAAGCCTGGCTCCATGTTGGAAATGACTGGAAATCACTGAAAACAAAACTATTGGATCTGTTTAATAATACTACTTAGCATTCTTTGAATGTTTACTTTGTACCAGGCAATGTACTAAGTGTTTTGTGTATGTGTGTGTGTGTGTCTGTTTTGTCATTGAACCTTACACCACCCCTTATAAGGAAATGGTGGCTTGGAAGAGGTAGAGTGACTTGCCCCAAATCACCCAGCCAAGAAGCCCAGGTGCAGGGATTCAGGATCGTGCAGTTGTTCAGACTCCCTCTGCACATTGCCCGCTATGATGGCACATTTGATTTTCTTGAACCTCACTGACAGGAGTGTAGATAGCTGTTGGTCACAGCTCTCAAGTCAGCCCCCGACTCCTGGCTACCCCCATGCACAATGGCGTCTGACTGTTGTGATCCATAGTGTTTTCACTGGTTGATTTTTGGAAGTAGATCACCAGCCCTGTCCTCCTAGTCCATCTTAGTCTGGAAGCTCTGCTAATGCCTGCTCAGCATCAGAGCAACATGCATGCCTCCACTGACAGATGGGTGGGGCCTGTGTGTGTGGTGCATCGGCCTCAGTCCTGTCTTTTGCATGGATGGTGAGAATTCAACCACTGAACTACCATTCTCCCTCAGGGGCGTAGATAGGATGGAAGTTACAATCCTGATTTGATACAGGTCCTGGTGGCTGAGTGACTGGTTGAGGACAGAGAGGGACTTGGAGGCAGGGTTCCGGCCACACAACCTGTGCTCTTACTGCCTCTGGATGAAAGTGCCCTGGCCTTGGCATTGGGCACAGCTGGTTTAGGCTACTTGCCCTGCCTGCCACTTAGGAGCTCAGTAAGTGGTTAAGCACTGGACCACTAACCAACAGGTTGGCGGTTCAAAACCATCTAGAGGTGCCTTGGAAGTAAGGCCTAGTGATCTGCGTCCAAAGGGTCACAGCCTTGCAAACCCTGTGAAGCAGTTCTACTCTGCACACATGGGGTCGCCACAAGTCTGAATCAACAGCAACTAACAATGACAACACAATGGGGGGATAAGTACCCACCTCCTGGAGTTATGAGGATTGGATTAGACACTGAGCAACTATCCCCCATAAATAGTTGTTTGTATTAATACCATTGACTTCATCATCCTGCCATCGCTTCAGGGTCCCCAACCTCGCTCAAAGTCCTTCAGGCCTCATGGCTCCAGTAACCTAACCTGCCCTGTCTGCACCCCCTATACTACATTGCAGACTGCCGACTACTGTGGGATTACGTGTACCAGCTCCTCACTGACACCAGGTATGAACCCTACATCAAGTGGGAAGACAAAGATGCCAAGATCTTTCGTGTCGTGGATCCGAATGGACTTGCCAGACTCTGGGGAAACCACAAGGTGAACCTCAGTTCCAGCAGGTGGGACAGTCTCAACATTCCAGAGCAGAGGGTCAGAGTGGCCCCCTCCACACTAGAGGATGGTCCTCAGCTGACAGGGCTTCACCACCAGCCCCGAAAGTGCCAGAATTATTTTATTTTGGAAGATACCGAGGAACTTGCAATTCCTCTTGTGGATGGGGAATATCAGTGGAACTCTGGAATCTTGCCTTCTATTGCTTAGTCCCACTTTTGCTTAGCATATGAGCCTTTCAAAGCACATTTGCATGAATTGTGCTGTGGGGCTGTTAAACTAGATGAAGAAGATGATTACTTGGGGGGGAAGCTGGGTCAGAAACCCGGGCCCCAGGGCCCACAGAAGCATGAAGGTGGAAGAATGCCCATACCGAAATGAGAGTCTCTGTATTTAGGTAGTTTACCCCAAATTTTAATAAATATTTATTGTAGTGAGAATTCTGATTTTAAATCTTACTACTATGTTAATCTCGTGAGTTACAGTGGTGATATGAAGAAAGTGTCATTTTTTTTGCAGTGGAATCTGTGAGAGCCAGAACTCAACAGGACTGCCTTATTTTTCTGTGTCTTGCAAGTTTTCTGCCTTTGACATGGTGCAGTCTTATCACTTTCTGTCACTCTCTATTAATGGAAAATATTTGAGTTTCCTTCTCTGACAGGTTTCTGCCTTATACAGAGTCTGGCTTTCCTAGGTTTCACTGTATATACATTTATTTACTTAAAAAAAGTCTTTTAAAGAAAACTATTAAGAACAATAATGATAATGAGCAATATATAAACCAAACTCACTGCCATTAAGTTGATTCCAACTCATAGTGACCCCGAGGCGGTAAATCTTTACAGAAGTAGATTGCCCAGTCTCCCTTCCATGGAGGGGCTGGTGGGTTTGAACCATCAACCTCCTGGTTAGGAGTCAAATGCCTTAGGCACTACGCCACCAGAGCTCCTTAAGCAACATATAGCATTTCTAAAAATGTGCTATGTATTTTATCATCAGACACTGCTCTGAGGGCTCTGCCTGTATTAACTCATTTAGTCCTCACAACAACTTTGTGAGGTAGGTGTTATCAAATGTGGAAACTGAGGCACAGAGAAATTTAACAACTTGCCCAATGGTTTCAGCCAGTAAGTGGCAGAGCAGGGATTTGAACCCAGCTGCCTGTGCTCTGATGGCTTAGTTAAAACATTGGGCTGCTAACCAAAAGGTCAGTGATCCGAACCCACCAGCCACTCTGCAGGAGAAAGATGAGATAATCTGCTTCTGTAAAGACTTATAGCCTTGGAAACCCTATGGGGCAGTTCTACTCTGTCCTATAAGGTTGCTGTGAGTTGAAATACATTCAATGACAATGGGTTTGGTTTTGGTCTGACTAGCTGTGTGCTTTACTATGTTGCCTCTTAGTAATGCTGGTGCCTGGAAGAATCAGCTGACTGCTGTTTGGGAAGTACTAATCTGATCCAATTTCTTTATAGTAGGGAGGGAAACTGAACCCAAGAAAGCGGCAATTCCATTTAACAAGCACTTATTATGTACTAGGCACTGTGCTAAGAACTTTCATGTTGTTGTTATGTGCCGTCGAGTCGGACCCGACTCATAGCGACCCCTCCTTGGGTTTCTGAGGTAGTATCACTACAGAAGTAGATTGCCCAACCTTCCTTCCGAGGAGTGGCTGGTGGGTTTGAACTGCCAGCATTCTGATTAGCAGTCAAGTGCCTTAGGCCCTATGCTACCAGAGCTCCCAAGAACTTTCATGGATTAGCTAATTCTCACAACAAACCTGTGAGGTGATGTTCTTATCCTCATTTGCCAGCAAATAAACTCAGAGAGGTAAAGAAACTTGTCCAGGGTCACACAGTTTCCAAGAGGTAGAGCTGTGCCTTAAACTGATCCCAAAGCCCAGGTGAGAGCAATATATAGTGTTATTTCTCCCCCAGCCTTCTGCCTTTCTCCTTCCACATTTAAGGAATGGTGACATAAGGCTGCTTTACCTTCTAGAACCGGGTAAACATGACCTATGAGAAAATGTCACGTGCCTTGCGCCACTACTACAAGCTGAACATCATTAAGAAGGAACCTGGACAGAAACTTCTGTTCAGGTGAGTGGCCTGGGGGCAGAGGTGAAAAGGGGAAGTGGGTCTGTAGCCACTGGGGTAGGGGCTAATTTGCAGCTGTGATCTGAATTCCAGATTTCTGAAGACACCAGGGAAAATCATCCAGGACAAGGGTAGCTGTCTGGAGGAGCTGGAGAACCAGAGGGAGGACAGGATGGGTTTCAAAGACAAGCTGCTGCAAGTCTCTCCATGAGGGGGAAGTGGATTCTTCCAGGTCCCTGGCATTGACAGGGCAGGAACTGAGTACAGTGCAGTGAATTACTTAATATGGCCCTTCTAAGCCACAGTCTCTGTAACTCCCACCAAATGATTGGGTAAAAACTCAAAAGTCACTGCCAGTGAGTACTTTATGATACAGGGAGGGAAACTTTGGGTTTCCAAGGTGGTAAATCTTTATGGAAGTAGATTCCCAGTCTTCCTTCTGTGGAGTGGCTGCTGGGTTTGAACCATCAACCTTCTGGTTAGCAGTCAAATGCCTTAGGCATTACACCACCAGAGCTCCTTAATGATTGGGTAGGACTATGCAAACGTGAGGTGTTTGTGGTCCACCATAGGGGTTGGATAGCTTGTTAGTATGTAAATAAAGTGATGGCACCCTCATGGGGATGGGACTGTGCAACTAAGGTATATGAAACCCTAATGAGGGAATTGGGCAGGTTTGCCATCCTGCTAGGCTTAAAATGAGATACCCCAGAAGGGGGGAAAAGGAATCTCACTACAATGAAGAAGAAGAGCCAGGAGTGGAACACATTTGGATCTGAGATCCCTGCGCTGAACCTCTTCAATCCAGGAGACGAGAGCTCTGACACCAGAGACAGAAGCAGCAACAGAGAAATAATGCCAGCAGAGGCAACAGAACCAAGAGACTCAAGACAGAGCAGAGGTTTCCACTGAGTGAGAAAGCTGATGATTGGGCTGCCTCTGGGCATTTATCTGTGGAGCTAAAAGAGCTTTGTAACACTTGCCCAAGCAGGGCAGAGGCCAGGCCAAGGGGCTGAGGGCAAGAGAGAGGCCTGCCTTTGGGCATGGCTGAGGGAAGGCTGTCTTGACTGAAGGATTGCATCCTGAGTGATCCTGATCCTGAATTGTAACCTGTTCTTTCCCTAATAAACCCCATAATCATGAGTATTGTCTGTGAGTTCTGTGTAAGGACATACCGAGTCCAGCAGAGAACTAGAGTCCATGGGAGGGACGGTTGCTATCAGAGTTGGTAAAAAAAGTTGGAGGGTGGCAGCATGTCTGCCATCCACCTCAGAGGAATCAGCCTTGATCTCTTAATGCTGATCTTGACCCTTCTCCCCTCTTGTGAAGTTGGAGGAGTTCAGTTGACGCTGCCGCCACACCCTTCTTGCACTGAGTCTCCTGCGAAAAGCTCTGGTGGAGCAGTGTCTAAGGCATTTGACTGCTAACCAGAAGGTTGGCTGTTCAAACCCAGCAGTCACTCCACAGAAGGAAGACCAGGCAATCTATTTCCTTACAGATTTGCTGCCTCGGAAACCCAACAGGGGTTGCTATGAGTCAGAATTAACTTGATGGCAGTGTTTTTTTTTTTTTCCTCCTATGGAGACAGCTGTCCAGTGGCCTCCTCTCCTCCCAGGTCAGCAGGAATCCCCAGCCGGACTTTGTACTCAGCTGTTGTCTTGGGGCCTTGAAGCTGCTTGGGGACCTAGGAAGACTGAGAGCTGGAAAGGGCCTCTCTTCCAGGACAAGGGGTGGTGTCATCTGTCCTTTGCATAGGATAGCCCTGGACCTAATAAGTGGGGGCACACAGAGTGACTCTCTGCCCTCCTTACCCCACAGTACCTACCCAGCTTGGAAGAGGGAGCCAACCCAGGTGTTGAGAGGGCATCCACCCAGTTCCTTATATTTCCTCTGAAGGAAATGAGATCTTTCACTGAGCCTCAATGCTCCTCTTCTGTAAAAGAGGTATGCTCGTAAAAACTTGCTGAGGCATGAGGCTGAAGCATGAAAGGGTACCAAACCAAACCAAACTCACTGCCAGTGAGTTGGATCCGACTCATAGCGACCCCTTCTTGGGTTTCTGAGGCGGTATCTCTATGGAAGTAGATTGCCCAACCTTCCTTCTGAGGAGTGGCTGGTGGGTGGAAAGGATTAATGCTTTCTTTGTCAACCTTATGATAGGTTGTCAATGATAGGTGACATTTCTTAAGTGTTTACTATGTGCCAGGCATTGTGCTAAGGGCCCTACATACAGTTAATCTCATTTGATTTGCACACCTACCCCCTGAGGTTTAAAGGTGGGGAAACTGAGGCACAGGTACTTTGAATACCTTGCAGAGCTGGGATGCCTCTCCACAATCTGTCTGTCTCTGAATGTGAACTTCTCAAACAGAAGCCACGGTCCTACCTTTCTGCCCTTGAGGTCTTCGTTTGACCTGCCTCAACCACCTCACCCTCAGGTTTTAGTCTTTCAGGGATCCAGTGAAGATCGATACGCCCTCCCCTCTCCTGTGGCTGAAATATGTTTCAGAAAGCCCTGCAAGAGTGGATTCTTGGTTACATGTCTCCCTTTTCACTGTTTGTGACTGTGTAACCAGTGGTTCTCAGTGTGTGGTCCTCGGACCAGCAGCATCAGCATCACCCGGGAAGTTGTTCAAAATGCCCCACCCCAGACCTAATGAATAAGAAACTCTGGAGAAGGGGTGTATTAGAGCTGCAATTCTGAGGCACTTGGGTTGTGGAAGGCTGCAGTCCACAGTGGGAGCCCTAACTCCATTTTGAGTCTTGGCATGAGTTCAGATGCCATTTGAGTTCTTTCTGACCTTTAAACCAACTTTGTGGCTATGCGTAGACAAGTTCCAGGACAAACCTAGGGAGGGGCAGTTGCCCTCAGGAACTACTGGTTGAAAGTAGATTATGCTCAACCAAAGAATTAGGGAACCTGCCTGGGTGTGTCCTTATTTAATTTAAATTAAGTTTGGGGTCCTGGTACTGTCTTGTGGCTGTGATTCAGACTTTATTATGAGTCATGAGTCATATCTGGCCCACCAGGTAGCTGGGTAGTCAAGTCCCAGAACCAATCCTGTAACCCTTTTTAAATCTTCAATTATGTAGATATATCCCAATCATGGTCCTTTCCCTGATTCTATAGCCCCACCTATGACAGTGATGAATAGATCTTCCCCCAAACATGATTTTGTGATGACTCCCTTTGTTTGGGAGCTCTGGTAGCATAGTGGCTAAGACACTTGCCTGCTAACCAGACGGCTGGCGGTTCAAACCCACCAACCACTCCTCGGAAGGAAGGTTGGGCAATCCTACTATCCGTAGTGATACTGCCTCGGAAACCCAAGGGCACATAACAACAACCCTTTGTTTTCTGTCATATATAATTAGCCCCATGGCCGTGACTCAGCGGACTCCATTCAGCTTTCTGTACTGTGTACATGCTGATGGTTTCCTTCATCCTGCACGATTGTCTTTGTCTTAAGGCTTAATAACACTCTTTATTTATTTATTTATGTCAATTTAAATTTTTATTGTGATTTGGGTGAAAGTTTACAGAGCAAATTCATTTTCCATACAGCAGTTCATACACATTTTGTTTTTTGACATTCACTGAAATTCCCCACAATGTAACAGCTCTCTTCCCACTTCCTCTCCATAGTTACCTCTTCCCTGTGTCCTTCCCTCCCATACTCTGCACCCCCCCCGCCCAGCTGTCTCCCTGTGCAAACACTGCCCTTCTGTTCTCCCACAATCACTCCAATGAGTGTATCTACCTGTTGTAAATGTTCACCCCATGTGCCTGTATATTGTTTGGCTGGAAGCCACAGGAGTGAGTTCAGTTCTTGAAGGGTAACTAGGGGCCATTGTCTCAGAGGTCTTACCAGGCTCTATCAGACCGGAAACTGTTTTTTTTTTTTTTAATGATTTTGAGTTTTGTTCTACACTGCTCTCTTTCTTTATCTAGGATCTCCTGGAGGGGCTGAGACCTTTTTAGGGTCTTGAGCTTCAACAAGACATTAACATGTTAACTGAGTACTTAAGGGAGGATTTCTTGGAGGAGATGGGTCTTCTCTAGGAAGGAGTTCCAAGGACTAGAATGGGAGTGGGGAGTGGGGGGAATAAGGACAGGAGTTCTGTGGCCATTTAGTCCCAGGTTCAAATCTTGTCTCTGCCACTTACCTGCTGTGTGACCTAGGGCAAATTGCCTCTCTAGACCCTCATTTTTTTCATCTGCTGACCTGACCTCACAGGCTTGTTAGCTTCAGTAAGATACTATCTGTGAAGGGCCTGTATGCTCCTGTTAAGTAAGGAGCTCTTAATTAAGTGCTAGCTAAAAAAACTCTACTTTGGTCATGTTATCAGAAGGGACCATTCTCTGGAGAAGGATGTCATGCTTGGTAAAGTGTAGGGTCAACGAAAGAGGGGAAGACCCTCAACAAGATGGATTGACATGGTGGCTGCTGCGTTGGGCTCAGGTATCGTAGGGATTGTGAAGCTGGCACAAGACCGGGCAGTGTTTCATTCTGTTGTCCATAGGGTTGCTATGAGACAGAGATGACTCAATGGCACATAACAACAACAACAACAACAACAAAACAACTCTGCAAACCACAGGCATTCTGAAGCAGGAAAGTGCCTCTGTCCTATCCAGCTTCTCTGCTCTGCTCCCTGACCCCCAAGTACAGGGTGGGGCCTTCCGAGAGGGTCAGAGCCTCTGCAAATGTCCCAGGTGAGGTTGAGGGAGAAGGAGAAGGGAACATTTTCACTTAATCGAAACAGAACTTCTTGGATCCACATCATCTTTCTGAGAAGAAGGAAACCACCTCAGCCACTTTTCCCCAGCAGGTCAGGAAATCCCCCTGCTCTGATCCTGGGTCTCCTGAGTCAAAGTACAGAAGTTGATAAGATTCTTGGACTTTGGGACTCAAAGATATGGCCATTCAGGAGCAGGGAAACTCCTTGGTTGGTGGTATCTAAGGCCTTTGATCTGCGCTCTTTATAGCAATGACGCAATTCCATTCTGGAAGAGGCCAGGCACGTGGCCTTGGGAAAAAATGCTCAATAGGAATATTCTTGGCCCTTTTTATCTCCCCCTGAGACTATTCCATCTCATTGACTCTGCTCAGGATGAACCCTGTGCCCATTAAAAAAAAAAAAAAACCTCACTGCCATAGAGTTGATTCCAACTCATAGTCAGGCAGTAAATCTTTACTGAAGTAGATT